AGACATTAGTAAGCCAAGTGGGTTGAAAGCCCAAATGAATAACAGCAAGAGTGAAGCGAATATAAAGCTGAAAGAGTAGAAGAAATTGTGCAAAAAGGCCAACTGTCGAAATCAACCTCGGAGAAATGGATTCTTTGATCTTGTGAGGAGATATGGTCATAAGGGTGCGTCATAAAGAAAACCAACTCCAAAACATGCCCAATTAAGAGCAACAACTGTAGCAGCCTTATTCTCGACATCTATTGAGAAAGGGAATGATGGAGGAAGAAGAATCCTCAATGAAGCTGAAGCAACAGTATAGTTAGGGAAAACATTGGGTCTAGAGTATAATGGATCAGAAGAGAAAGTTCTAAACAAAATAGTGGAACTAGAAAAGAATGATAAGGAGAAGCTTGGGGGAGGGGGGAATAGGGCAACTACATTGGTTAATTATGGAGGTGGGGTTTCATTGGAGCTTTATGAAGTTTTTGATGAAGATACTGGTTTGGAATATTAGAGGAATTGAAAGGCAAGAGAATAAGGGAAAGATACATAAGTTGGTGAAGGACATAAATGTTAGTATTGTGTTGATTCAAGAAACAAAAAAAAGCTGTTATTACAAAACAAATAAGTCAAAGAAAGTGGGTGAGGAATAGAATGGAGTTCATGTCAGTGGATGCTGAAGGTATAGCTAGAGGAATGTTATGCATATGGGACCCTGAGGCATTTCAACTTGTTGCTTGCTGCAGTAGTAGAAGGTTCATACGTTTATCAGGTACAATGTTTAATTCTTTTGAGTGTGTTATAATGAATATCTATGCACCCAATGATGTGGATAGTAGAGGAAGCTCGGGATAGTTTGATTAAATTAAAACAAGGTTTCCCTAAACCATGGTGTCTGTGTGGGAATTTCAATGAAATTAGATATATTGGTGAGAGGAAAAGCTGCTCCAGAAGAGAGGGGGGTATGGCTGAGCTCAACGAGTTCATTGAGAATTGTGAAGTACAAGACCTACCTTTATTAGGAAAAAAAGTTCATATGGTGTAATTCAAGGGAAGTGTAGAAATGGAGTAGAATATATAGGGTGTTGGTGGATCCAAGATGGATGGAGGGTTTTAAGCTAAAATTATAGGGATTACTTAAGCTCATCTCAGATCACAGTCCACTACTCTTGATGGAAGATGATAGGGACTGGGGAGCCGTTTAGGTTTCTAAATGCTTGGTGTTTACATCCAAATTTTTCCTTTTTTATGGTTAAAGCTTGGAAGGAGTCAGAGGTTAATGGTTAGGCTGTGTTCATATTATAGAAAAAACTGAAGGTTTTGAAATTAGCACTTAGGAAATAGAAGAATGAGGTGTATGGGTCTGTTCCTAACAAATTGAAAGCAGTAGAAGAGAAAGTTCATAACCTTGATCTTCAAGTAGATAATAGAGAGTTGGATCAACATGAGAAAGCTAGAAGAAGAGCAGCTACAGAAGAGGTATGGAGACTTCATAGAATGGTGGAATAGACGTGGTTACAAAAATTAAGATTGAGCTAGAACTTGAAAGGGGATCGAAATACTAGATTTTTTTTATGTGATGGTCGAGGGTAGACAATGTAGAAATGAAATCGCATATATCACTTTTGGTGGTTCAGTGATTGAGGAACCCAGTCAAGTGAAGATAACAGTTTTTGAGCACTTCAAAAAGTAGTATTCTGAGAAGTGGGTGTTAAGACCTAAGTTAGGAGGCATATTCAAATCAGTGCAAAGCAGTCCACATTTTGAAGTGTTGGAAACAGAGTTTTTAGAGGCAGAAATCTTGGCAGTAGTGAAAGATTGTGAAGGAAACAAGACACCTGGGCCATATGGGTTTAATATGTTATGCTTCAAAAAATTCTAGAACGTGATGAAAAGGGAAGTACTCAATTTTATGAAGAAATTTTATAGGAATGGCGACTGGTGAAGGGATTGAATAGCTCCTTTATTACTCTTGTACCTGAAAAGGAAAATCTTATGGGCTTAACAGGCTATAGGCTAATCAATTTAGTTGGATCAATATATAAGGTCCTAACAAAGGTCCTGTCAAGAAGATTAAAAGAAGTGCTACCCTGCATCATTAGTGAGACCCAATCAACCTTTATATGGGGGAGGAACATACTAGATGGGATTTTGATTGCCAATGAAGTGGCAGATGGGTGGAAGAAATCCAAGTAGGGTGTGATAATTAAACTTCATTTTGAGAAGGCTTATGATTCAGTCAATTGAGGGTTTCTATACTCAATGCTCTTGAATTTTAGTTTTGGTTTAAGATGTGTTGAATGGATTATGGAGTGTGTTAGCACGGCTAGAATCTCAGTACTTGTAAATGGTTCTGCAACTGAAGAGTTTAGTCCTCAAAAGGGGCCTCAGACAAGGTGACCCACTGTCCTCCTTCCTGTTGAACTTGGTTGCTGAAGGGCTAAATATGTTGCTAACAAAAGCATACCAGATGGGAATTATTAAAGGTGTGAAAATTGGTGCAGATGATGTGATGTTGTCTCACCTACAATTTGCAGATGATTCTATTCTTTTCTGTAAGGCTGAGGAAGAGGAGGTCAAAAGCTTGAAAAGGATCTTAAGGTGTTTTGAGGTTATGTTTGGCCTGAGGATAAATTATCATAAGAGTCAGGTTTGTGGAGTAGGTGTTTCAGATGAATCTCTAGCTAGCTTTGCATCTATTTTGAATTGCAAGATTAAGAAGCTGCCCATTCAATATTTAGGTCTACCCCTTGAGGCTAATCCTAATAGTAAACAAACTTGGAAACCAGTGTTGGACAAAGTTCGTAGCAGACTAGCTAGCTGGAAAAGAAAGCTTTTATCTTATGTTGGGAGGCTAACTTTAATAAAATTTATGACTGCACTATTGCTGGTATATTATTTATCCTTGTTTAAATTACCTCAAAGAGTAGCTAAAGTGATTGACAAGTTGCAGGTTTCATTCTTTTGGTGAGAGGGGGGGGTCTAAAGTAAGGAGAAGGATACACTTGGTCAAATGGGATGATTTGTCAAAAAGTATGGATTGGAAGGGACTGGAGTTGAGAAGAATAAAGATGGTGAATGATTGTCTACTAATCAGATGGTGGTGGAGGTTTGGGTATGAAAAAGATGCATTGTGGAGAAAGGTTATTTGTAGCAAGTATAAGGTGGACTTTAGTGATTGGGTGCCCACTTCCTACACTAGGACTAGGGTTTCTAGTGTCTAGAAAGGTATACTTAATATTGCTGTGTCTGATAGCCTAATTGTATAGTTTTACTCAACAATTGGCAATTAAAGGTTGGAGATGAGAGCAAAGTTAGGTTTTTGTTGGATAAATGGTGTCATGCCACCTATTTCAGAGAGGAATTTCCTGGCTTATTCTTTTTGTCCTTAGATAAAGAGGTATCACTAAGAGCAATGTATGAGAGAAAGGAAGCTGCAGGGAATTGGATGTTTAATTTTAGAAGAAGGATATATGATTAGGAAGATTGTGAGGCCACAAGACTTGAAAGTCTCCTAGATGCTGCACCTCCTTTGGTGGATGATCAGCTTGATAGACCGGTAGGGTCAGCAGTATCAACGGAGGTATTCTCAGTGTCCTCTGTTTATAATGGGGTTTTTGCTATTGCAAGTCCTCCTTTGAGAATTTGTAAACTAGTGTCACTACAACAAAATTGGGTTTTCACGGAACTACATCAACGACATACAATAAATACACGTTGTGGTTTCTCACTTTTACGACTCGCTTTTTTTGCACGTCGTAAATAATTGTCCAACCACGGCGTGTCTATTACGTAGGCTGTGAATGGTAGTAAGGATGATTTTTTTATGGCTTGCAATGTTTGCTGTAAATAATAAAACTTTCTATGACATGCATATGACATGCCGTTAATGCATCAACTATACACGACACACGTATGTCCGCCGTTAAACATATTTTATTTTTCACGACACACAATTTATCAATGTCCGCCGTTAAAAATATTACACTTTTTACGACTCACACAATGCCTGTCGTTAAAAGTATTGCCTTTTTATGACGCACAGTGCATGTCGTGAATGTTATGACCGAAAAAAATTGACGCCAAAATGAAAAACTCTGGCGCCAAAACACCAAAAAAATATATTTTAAAAAATAAATATATCAACCCTTTGACTCACTACTACAACAATACTTAAAAATCACATTTAAAGAAATTAAAATATGACACTTTTAATGAAAGTATGATTAAAAAAATCAAATTAACATTTTAATCACATCTAATTTAATTGAGTGTGATAGTATTTATTTTTATGCCACTTCTCAATTAAATATAATTATATCTTTTTTTTTAATCACACATTTTAATTAATGCGTGCTTATATATATATATTTAAAATTTTATTTTTAGGATAATGGTTAAGAGCTCGAAAAATGCCCCCTCCCCCTAATCCCCCTAATGCCCAAAACGATGTCGTTTCGGGCATTTTTTTTTTTCTTCTTCTTCACGCAGCTCTGAGACAGAGGGAGGGGAGAGAAAGAGAAAGAGAAAGAGGGAGAGGGAGAGAAGAGCTCGTCGCAGGGAAGAGCTTCTCGCCATCGCAGGGAAGAGCTCGTCGCCCGCCATCGCAGCTCCTCGCCACCGCAGCCACTGCCTCTGCCTCTGCCTCCTTTTCCGCCCCCCGCCTTGGCCTCCACACCCCGATTTATTTGGCCCCCTCCAGTCCTTCGGCTTCCTCCTCCTCCTCATTCCTTCTCTTCTTCTTCTTCCCCCTCCTCCTCCTCCTCCTCCTCCTTCTCATCCCTTCTCCTTCTTCTGTTTTCTGCAAATTCGGGAGATTCGGGGCGCCGTCGCAGGGAAGAGCTCGTCGCCCGCCATCGCAGCTCCTCGCCGTTGCAGCCACTACCTCTGCCTCTACCTCCTTCTCCGCCCCCCGCCTCGGCCTCCACACCCCGATTTATTTGGCCCCTCCAGTCCTTCAGCTTCCTCCTCCTCCTCCTTCCTTTTCTTCTTCTTCTTCCCCCTCCTCCTCCTCCTTCCTTCTCCTTCTTCTATTTTCTACAAATTCGGGGGATTCGGGGTAGCTCTTTCGAGCTACCAAGCATGACCCTTATTTTTATATCTAATATTCCCACATGTGAAGAAACAGGAAGAGCATCATTCAAAAAACAAATTGCCCTAATTTCATTCCTACTTGCCCCAATCCTAGTTCTCTACTCACTCATTCTCTCTCTCGCAATGATGCCACAGATGACAACACCGACGTGGGTAGAACCCCCTTCGGTGTCCAAGTAACCCTCATATTTTCTCTCTCCCTCTCTCCCTCTCTCTGTCTCCCCCTTAATCTCTAGCTTTGTGTGACTCTGCCCTGTTATTATCATAGCTCTTGGCTGCTAAATTTTTTCTTTTTTCCTTCATCTATATTTGATAGGAACACAAAGGTCAAGGTTTTAGAGCCAGCTTCATCAAACGATGCAATTGCAAAACCAAGAATCATTGTACAGACCACTAGTGAAGTTGATCTTTTGGATGATGGCGAAAGTATGGCTAGAAAGTTGTTAAAGGAAATCCTTATCCAAGGTAATACTTTTACCCAGTTGGGCCTGTTGATTCATTTCCCCCTCTCTGCAACTCCCTTACTCTGTACCACCAAGTGAAACACTCTTCCCACCCCTCTGCAAAACCCCGTATTTCCCTCCCTGACCCCCTTTCGGCTAGATTAATAAATGAAATCAAGAATGTGTGTGTGTGTGTGTGTGTGTGTGTGTGTGTGTGTATTTGTATGAGTGTGTAGGGTTCTATTTTGAAACATTGGTTGTATGTGATTGATTTTTATAGCAACAGCTTCTGGTAAAAATCATATGACAACGATTCACTATTTTTTCCAAAGACCCAAAATGTATTCAATTTAGTAGATGTATGATTTTTGTCTTGTTTGTTAAAGTTTAAGTTTGAATTTCATGGTTGATTTGATTCGTTTGGTTACTGGAATTAATGGGGAATGAATAGAAATTGTAATTTGGGTAAAAAATGAATAGAATAAGATCTGTTTCATTGGTGTTTAAACCTTATTTTTGTTCTGTTGTGGTCCTTTGTTTGGTGCCCTGTTGCTGTTGTGTTCTGGGTTTTTAGTTGGTTTCAACTTATATCAACAATCTATTGTCCTGGTGGAATGCGGTTAAATTCAGAGAGGTTGGTAAACAGGTTTGGGAGGTTGCTCCTGCTGTAGTAATTTAGAGTGTTTGGAAAGTTAGGAATGCATTCAAGTTTGAGGGGAAGAGTATTCATTGGGTGAAGTACAACAGTAAAGGTTTGCCTTTTTCTGTTGATGATGTTGTCTTTAGGTTGGATTGTATAAAGGGCTGCTGAGGTGTATTTGGTTTAGTTGTGTTCTGGTGGTCGTGGCCTCTTTGCTTTTGTCTTTGTTTTCATTTTTGGGGCTGCTAAATCATCTTTATAAACTACATCTTCTTGCTCATGTCTTAACATTTGATCTTTAATTTTCTATATATATTCATATGGAATTGAGATGAATGTGAATCATTTATGATATTGATGTTAATGACAATAATTCTTGAATGCATGATTCACAGACATGTTCTTGTTTTAAAGTGAGATTCTTCTTTTTCTTTTATGATAAATGACAGATTTTAAAGTTCATAATTGATATTTGAATATACTTCCACATAATCCAAGATTGAAAGTCATAATAACTAATAAGATAAAATTGAGTCTTCAGAGGTTAAGCATGGAAAGGGTGAACAACTAAAGCACAGAATTATACTTAGATAACCAATTAAACTACCCAGCCAAACTCTTAAGTTGTGTGAGAAAATTGGAACATTGTGATTAATTTGAGCAAAATGAAATTGATTAAGGCTCAACATAAAATAATAGAGGTGAATTAAGGGAAGAAATTGAATAAATTAATAAAAATGTAGTTTATAATTGGATTGGTTTTTGTGGCCTTTTTGCTTTTGGGTATTCTGTACTGAATATGCTCTTAATATTTTCTTGGATTGGTTTGTGTCTGTAGTCTATAATTGTAGTTGTATTTGATGTAAAGTCCCTAAATTAATATGAATCATTTGAACTTGTTCTTCCAATCTGATCCTGTGTTCTATCCTTTGGGGTATTCCTAGTCCCTCCCAAATGCTATGATTATCCAACTTTTGCCTTTTGAGTGGTTCTCCCCACTGAGTTACCCTCTTTTGCTCTGTGCTTGGATTCTGGAATCTAGGTCCCTGTTATAAGAAAAACCCATAAAAACTAAATCAAATACAAAGTTTCTAGACAGTTTCCTTTCATTTCCTCTTAGCTCATCAAAATATGTGTGCATCTTCACATGATAAATGATATGTTATTTCTTTGTACCTGATATTGTTAATGAGTAGTCAGGGAAAGCACACTGAAAGCACAATTGAAAAGATCATGGATTCATGGGTGTGCTAGAGAGGCAGCTTTTTGAGTTTATTTATAGATTCTAATTTATCTATGCTAAATCAAATACAAAGTATTCATTTCGATGGAGGTATTGTGATTGCTATTGAATCTGATATGTTTTATATAACAAAGTCACAATTTTCCTAATATTTAATATATATGTTTTGCTTTGTTCTAAAAAAAATTGTAAAAAAAATATTTGTTTAACATATATATTTTTAAAACATGTTAAAGAAATATTATTGCAAATTTACATTAGCAAAATATCAGCAATTAGTATTTTTTGTTTTAAAAATTGGTTAAGTTAGTTTGAATGATTAGCAAAAATAAAGAGTGTGGTTGGAGAACGCAATAGCTAATGCAATTAGGTAAAATAAAGAGTGTACTATTTTTGTACTTTGGCTAGCGAAAAATAAAGAGCATGGTTGGAGTTGCTCTTACACCAAATAAATAGGCTCGTTTCAACCCCTCCTAACAAAAAAGGTAGACAGAGAACTAGAGCTCAAGAGCTTGGAACAATGGGAATGGAAAAGTGTCAAACATTTTGGCCCCATCAGAAATCAAAGTAGACCAAAGGGAAGTTCGAAGTTAATGAATTAGTACCCTGCTTGATACTTCACTCAGGTGAGCTGCTAGCACCTTGGGCAGTGCGAGGCTTATTGCACTGCGGCTTCCTTCTTTAAGAACAGTTTTCTTTTAACAATTACACATCAAATAAAATGTTGCTTTCTGTTTCCAAAAAGCCATGTGCCATACGAGCCCTTAATAATTTCCTTTGATTCAACTTAAGCTTAGAGCTTGATCACCTAGACAATTCAAGTACATCTTTGGTGCTTCTATGTCTTTAACTCTAATGCTTTTATGTTGAGGATTGATGTTGGTTCAGGAAGTAAATTTTCAACTTTGAAACCAAGCTGAAACTTTGAGCCCTTAGTGGTCTCCACATTAAACTCACATTGAAATTCAAAGTGAGCTTAATGTGCTAAAGAATCACATGTTCTTTTTCTTCTACTAAAATAATAAAGCAATTGGTGGATATCTCTTTTTGTTCTACTATATTTTCCTGTACAAACTTAATGGTTTGTTTGCAGATTCTTACTCATTTCCCTCTAGAAACATTGCAACAAAAGAGGTAACTTCATTAGAGGTAGCTTCATTTGAGGTATGAAAAAAAAAAGTTTTGCTTTTTGTGGATTTTATTTGCATATGCGTTGAGACTATCGAGATCTTGAATTTTTGCTAATTTTTCATTATGACATTACTTTTATGGGACCATTGCATTATCTTATAAATTTTGGAAATATTTTGTTGATGTTTTAAAATTTCTCGATCATTTCTTCATGCCTCAAGAAATATTTTTGTTCATAAGGAGTTGGTTTTTGTAATTATGTAAAGTTTCCTTTGTCATGCAGACAAGAAATGCAACATGGTTAGTTGCTCTAGCTATTATCGTGGGTTTAGGTGCCTTAACACATACATTAGGCACCCTCGTCCCTGTGATAGAAGCAAGTGGATTTGCTACAGCTGCAGCTGCAACTACTATAAGAACTGTTGTCGGTAGTTTTAGATAATTTCTTAATAGTTGTCGATATGTTTAGAAAGTTAGATATCCATAATTTTGGATGGTTTAAACTTTTTGTACAGTTTATAACTTAAAGATGTAGTTTTCGAATGTTTGGAATGTATAGACAATTGTTGAATGTATATAATTTGTGGATATGTTTCTTTTTGATGTTTCAAACAATATTTTGGTGGTTGATTGATGTTTTGTGATGTTTGTTTATAATATTTGTTAGATTGTACAAAATTGATCAAATAGAACATGCTGAATTTAAAAATTAAAAAAAAAACAGCATATTCTACGGCATGCATAATAAATCGTTGTATTGCATATTTTACGGCACGCAATCAGTATCATTATTTTCTCACCAATTAACGGCATGCAAAAGTAGTCATAGAAAAAGTAACAATGACGCACAAAATCTGTCATTAAACGGTTTTTAACGGCGTACTATAGGATGTCGTAGAAAAGTAACAATGACACACAAAATCTGCCGTTAAATAGTTTTTAACGGTGTAAGAAGCATATCGTTGAAAGTGAATGACTTTCCATAGCTGGTCATAATATGACACGCAGTGCACGCCGTAGAAGGGTTTTTACAGCGTGCAATGCACGCCGTAAAAATCCTTTTTTGTTGTAGTGTATGGGTTAAATACTTGCCTCCTAGAGTCCAATTTCTTGGGTGGCTAGCATTGAAGAGTAGATTAAAGACAATAGTTTTTCGCCAAAGAATTGGTGTGCTCCGAAGCAATGCATCAACTCTATATGTGTTCTGGAAAGCTGAGATTGAAACTGTGAACCATGTCATGGTGTCCTGTCTTTTTGCGTCAACTGTGTGGACTGAAATGCTAAACTGGTGGTATGTGCAAGGGGCCTTACCTGGAACTATTGAAGGGTTACTTCTATGATGGGATAAGGAGAGGCTCAGCAGTAAGGAGTGAAAGATTTGGAGGGGCATACCTCTAGTTGTGTTGTGGTCGCTATGGAAGCTTCGGAATGATGTTGTGTTCAATGCATCAGTCCCTAATGTGGCCGAGTTATGTGAAGTGATAAAAGTTAGAACATTGTGGTGGAGACCATTTTACTGAGAGCATAGTTTTACAATTCAGGATTTTGTGCACAATCTTAGGGCAAGTGAGAAGGTGTATTCCAGGAAAAAGGGTGTAAGGTGTTTGTGCTGTATTCTTTGTCTTTGTTGTTGTGTTTTGTTTAGCTTCTATTAATCTAGTTGGATCCTCTCCAGCTAGGTCTTTATTGATGTTATCTGTTGTAATTGTGATGTGTTTTGATCTTCAATAAAGTTTTTTCGCTGTTTCAAAAAAAAAAAAAAAAAAGGATAGCCAACAATAAATATAAGAGCAATAAAAGAGAAGGAGATATTTGGTGGTTGTAAACCGATACTCCACACCATTCAACTTGTGACACTTGCTTCATTATCTCTAAAAAGCAACATAAAAATAGTGAGTCATTCTGTTTAAATCAATAAAAATTAAATTAATTAAAACATTTCATGATCTTATCCAATAGCATTAAATAAGATCCAATTCCGAATCTACTCATTAGTTAAAAAAGTTTATATTAATTTTTGAATTATGTTAGGGATTTCAAATATTCTACCAAATCTCTTATATAGGTGTGAGATCCACACACATGTGGATTTGTGCGAATCTCACTCCGTGTGAGAGGTTTGATAAAATATTTGTTTGAATATTTGGAATACATAATATTTCTCTTAACTTTTTAACCTATAAAAATTAACTAATCATTACAAATTATCAAATATAATTACGTTTCTAATTTTTTTTTTAAATCAAAAAATTATTAAAAAAATAAATCCGAAACGAGGCCTAATTTGTAGCAAGGAGAGCTATCATTTGACTCTATCGGATTTATTTTTTTAATAATTCACCATCCACATCCATTAAAGGTCTGGCTTTGGTCCAGTCCACCATCGGACTGGACCATGTTGTTGGGCCCGTGGGGGCCCACTACCGGTCCCGTTTTGAAAATCTGAACCATTCAATGTGTAGAACTCTTCGAGTACTATATGTCTGTAAAAAATCACGTTGATCGAATATCGATAGCTATGCGATCAAATCACTCTTGACGAAGAATAGAATGGAATGGAATGGAATGGTTGACTACATATCTTGATCTTAGTGATTGGTTAATAGAGTTATGCAAGCAGAGCTTTTTCCAACTCTTTTACTCTTTAGCTCGACTAATGCAATTATTGATCTCTCAACTTAGTTGGCATTAATTTGGTTTGCTTCATCGCCATCTCGGTCATGAGTTATTTCTTGGTCACAACCACTCTGGCTTGACACTTGATGTCATGGGCTCTTCTTTGCTAAACTTAACTCTGGTGACATTGCAAACGGACTTTATTAGGCTTGACTCTTGCAACCTTGCAAACAGACCTTGTTAGGCTTAACTCTGGCGACCTTGCAAACGGACCTTGCAAATAAACCATGCAATCGGACCCTGGAACAGACCTTGATAGGCTTAACTCTGGCAAGGGCTGCTGAGGTGTATTTGGTTTAGCTGTGTTCTGGTGGTCGTGGCCTCTTTGCTTTTGTCTTTGTTTTCATTTTTGGGGCTGCTAAATCATCTTTATAAACTACATCTTCTTGTTCATGTCTTAACATTTGATCTTTAATTTGCTATATATATTCATATGGAATTGAGATGAATGTGAATCATTTATGATATTGATGTTAATGACAATAATTCTTGAATGCATGATTCACAGACATGCTCTTGTTTTAAAGTGAGATTCTTCTTTTTCTTTTATGATAAATGACAGATTTTAAAGTTCATAATTGATATTTGAATATACTTCCACATAATCCAAGATTGAAAGTCATAATAACTAATAAGATAAAATTGAGTCTTTAGAGGTTAAGCATGGAAAGGGTGAACAACTAAAGCACAGAATTATACTTAGATAACCAATTAAACTACCCAGCCAAACTCTTAAGTTGTGTGAGAAAATTGGAACATTGTGATTAGCTTGGGCGAAATGAAATTGATTAAGGCTCAACATAAAATAATAGAGGTGAATTAAGGGAAGAAATTGAATAAATTAATAAAAATGTAGTTTATAATTGGATTGGTTTTTGTGGCCTTTTTGCTTTTGGGTATTCTGTACTGAATATGCTCTTAATATTTTCTTGGATTGGTTTGTGTCTGTAGTCTATAATTGTAGTTGTATTTGATGTAAAGTCCCTAAATTAATATGAATCATTTGAACTTGTTCTTCCAATCTGATCCTGTGTTCTATCCTTTGGGGTATTCCTAGTCCCTCCCAAATGCTATGATTATCCAACTTTTGCTTTTTGAGTGGTTCTCCCCACTGAGTTACCCTCTTTTCCTCTGTGCTTGGATTCTGGAATCTAGGTCCCTGTTATAAGAAAAACCCATAAAAACTAAATCAAATACAAAGTTTCTAAAGGGTTTCCTTTCATTTCCTCTCAGCTCATCAAAATATGTGTGCATCTCACATGATAAATGATGTGTTATTTCTTTGTACCTGATATTATTAATGTGTAGCAGGGAAAGCACACTATGTGCAAAATTGAAAAGATCATGGATTCATGGGTGTGCTAGAGAGGCAGCTTTTTGAGTTTATTTATAGATTCTAATTTATCTATGCTAAATCAAATACAAAGTATTCATTTCGATGGAGGTATTGTGATTGCTATTGAATCTGATATGTTTTATATAACAAAGTCACAATTTTCCTAATATTTAATATATATGTTTTGCTTTGTTCTAAAAAAAATTGTAAAAAAAATATTTGTTTAACATATATATTTTTAAAACATGTTAAAGAAATATTATTGCAAATTTACATTAGCAAAATATCAACAATTAGTATTTTTTGTTTTAAAAATTGGTTAAGTTAGTTTGAATGATTAGCAAAAATAAAGAGTGTGGTTGGAGAACGCAATAGCTAAAGCAATTAGGTAAAATAAAGAGTGTACTATTTTTGTACTTTAGCTAGCGAAAAATAAAGAGCATGGTTGGAGTTGCTCTTACACCAAATAAATAGGCTCGTTTCAACCCCTCCTAACAAAAAAGGTAGACAGAGAACTAGAGCTCAAGAGCTTGGAACAATGGGAATGGAAAAGTGTCAAACATTTTGGCCCCATCAGAAATCAAAGTAGACCAAAGGGGAGTTCGAAGTTAATGAATTAGTACCCTGCTTGATACTTCACTCAGGTGAGCTGCTAGCACCTTGGGCAGTGCGAGGCTTATTGCACTGCGGCTTCCTTCTTTAAGAACAATTTTCTTTTAACAATTACACATCAAATAAAATGTTGCTTTCTGTTTCCAAAAAGCCATGTGCCATACGAGCCCTTAATAGTTTCCTTTGATACAACTTAAGCTTAGAGCTTTATAACCTAGACAATTCAAGTACATCTTTGGTGCACTCTGATGCTTTTATGTTGAGGATTGATGTTGGTTTAGGAAGTAAATTTTCAACTTTGAAACCAAGCTGAAACTTTGAGCCCTTGGTGGTCTCCGCATTCAACTCACATTGAAATTCAAAGTGAGCTTAATGTGCTAAAGAATCACATGTTCTTTTTCTTCTACTAAAATAATAAAGCAATTGGTGGATATCTCTTTTTGTTCTACTATATTTTCCTGTACAAACTTAATGGTTTGTTTGCAGATTCTTACTCATTTCCCTCTAGAAACATTGCAACAAAAGAGGTAACTTCATTAGAGGTAGCTTCATTTGAGGTATGAAAAAAAAAGTTTTGCTTTATGTGGATTTTATTTGCATATGCGTTGAGACTATCGAGATCTTGAATTTTTGCTAATTTTTCATTATGACATTGCTTTTATGGGACCATTGCATTATCTTATAAATTTTGAAAAAATTTTGTTGATGTTTTAAAATTTCTCGATCATTTCTTAATACCTCAAGAAATATTTTTGTCCATAAGGAGTTGGTTTTTGTAATTATGTAAAGTTTCCTTTGTCATGCAGACAAGAAATGCAACATGGTTAGTTGCACTAGCTATTATCGTGGGTTTAGGTGCCTTAACACATACATTAGGCACCCTCGTCCTTGTGATAGAAGCAAGTGGATTTGCTACAGCTGCAGCTGCAAC